AGTGAATACACAAAGTATTCAATGAAACAGAGAGGGGGAGGGCAAAAACCTGTCAATCTAGATTCCTGAACTCAGCTAAAATTTTATCAAGATTGAAGGTTAAATAAAGACCCTTTCAAGGGAACAAAAAAGGAGTGTTTACCACCAACAGATCTCTTGAAAAGATATTTCTAAATGATGTTCTTTAATACAAAGAAAGATGATCTCATAGGAAAGAAATGAGAAGCAATGATGAGCCCTGATAACACAACTATAAATCCAAATAAGATTGACTGTGAAAAGTATGAACAATTAAATTTTAACCATGCATTATAAATCTTCTTTTTAGTGGTTTTCAGAAATACTAGAAATCTAGTTTGTTTGCATCCTAGAAACTGCATCCATTAGCACAGAGGATTTGGCCACTGTTAGTTAAGCAAGTTTGACATTTTCTCTTTCCCTCCTGTACTCCACTATGCTGTGGGACAGCCAGAGGCAGAAGCTGAGCAACAGGTATGGTATGGGAAGAAAAATAATCTATGCCTAACCAATGAATAACTCAGCAAGACACAAAGGACTCTTCAATAAATACATCAGGAAGTGTTAGAGAAAGCAAAGGAGCAAGAAGAAATTAATAGTAAGGATTGTCAATATCTATTAATGGAAGCCCCCAAGCAAAGAAAGGAATAAAAAGAAGAAAGGACCTCATTGAAATATTTGAAAAGAAAAAGATCTAGAATTAAGGTAAGATCCTCTCTGTAATAGTGGATTAAGGCCTAAGAAGACCAACATTTCTTGTAGTTTATAACTCTAAACTGAGGACAGAATATGAAAAATTAACTTCCTTAAAAGTTCCAGAGAGTAAACAAATGCAGAAAAAAAGTTTTTTTTTGAGAGGAATTGAAAGAATCAGCAAAAAGTAAAAAGTAAGTTAATCATCTTTACAACTTTGACTTCATGGTTGCCTATGCACAGAGCCTGACATTGGGTGGACAAAACAATGGTGAAAAACATACCATTATGAAGAAAAAATCAGGCTGTCTCTCTCTGGAGATGGCACACATTTACCCTG